AAGCACACTGCTGAGGGGAGCACCGGGCAGGGCAGGAGAGGTCTGCCAGCCCACCATGTGGGTCACCTCCCTTGCTGGGGATCAAACTCCTTCTACAGTGGCTGCAGAAAGCTTCATAGTGCTGTGCTTTAGCCCACTGAGCCACCAGGGAAGGCCCCATAGTGCTGAGACTTAACCCCTTCACCACCAGGGAGGCCACCTTGTAACATTTTATATACAGACACTATTGACTAAGTCAGTGTGTGTATCAGATTTGTATGTCAACTTGTACCCTAGGTGTGCAACTTGTACCCTAGGTGTGCTCCAATTCAACTGAACAGAGTATACTACTTTCTAGGTAAACAGTCTCACTTTAAAATTGTATTGTTTTGCTAAGTTTCTACCAAATGTCAAGACACTAAAAATTTCAGATTAAATCCTACCTTTTTTTGTCAAATTTTTCCATACATTCTAGAGGCTGAATGAACTGAAGAACTTCATCCCACTGACCATCAAGGATTAGTTGCCTAAGAAAGGAAAACTCACATGTTATCATTCTGAGTTACATTATTTAAATGCAGGATAACAAAATAGCATCAGAGGCTCATAATATAGATAATGAGATTGATATTTTGCTAGGTTCTTCAACCATTATAAGGCATTTTTCCCCCCACACCTTATTTGTAACAATATACACTGCACATCAGAATGTGTAAATTTGCAACCATTTCTCTTACTAGTATATAGTTTTTTAATTATATCCTAACTCTCAAAGTTTATTTCCCCCATTTACTTTATAACTTTTTTTCTGTATCATTTGGAAGCCAGTGTGGGCATGTTCTATTTTCACTGAATCAGTGGTACTCAAATGGAGGCAATTCTGCCCCCAAGGAACACTTGGAATGTCCGAGACAGTTTTTGTTGTCCAACTGCAGGCACCAGCATCTACTGGGTATAGGTCTGAGCTGCTACTAAACATCCTGTAATGTACAGCCCTCCCATACACACACCAAAGAACTATCTGGCCCAAAATGTTAACAGTGCCAAGGCTGAGAATTCCTGCTCTCACTCATAATTTCTGTATCTCTGAGACACTTGAACTAAAGTTTACACATAGAAAATGAAAACAAGCAAGGAATGAGGTCAGTTTTATCCTAGATCAGTATAATCTATGGAAACTTCCAAAAGTTGTAAGGCATTCTTATGTGATTACAATTTCTTCTTTTATAATTTTCACTATAGTGAAAAATTTTGAATTTTTAAAATGATAAAATCTTAAAAGGGTGGGATCGACAAGACGGTCTTCAAAGGATTGCCAATTTTTAATTCTACAACAGAACAGTAATAAAATCAATCACTATCTTAATAATTTTATTAAGGGACGCTTTAAAGTTTAAAAAGTAGGAAGGACATAAAAAAAAAGTAGGAAGGACATGATTTCAAAAGGCAGCCCTTTAAGATTAATATATTTAGTTTAATTAAAAACTTGCTACTATGTAATTCATTGCATTTTACCTCAAGCCAGTAAAACATCAGCACAAATCAAGAGTTTCTTGAGGGGAGTATCTGAGTGCCACCACTAAATCTCAGGAATAGTAATGAAAAACAGGACCAGAAAAATACTGTGCCTCGGTACATCATGACTATATCATAGGCTAAGCTGCTTGGTTGGATGACATTCATAACACCAAAGAGAGAGACAAGCAATGCATTTAAATAAATTCCCTAATATAATAAAGCTTTGCTTTTTTTTTAAAGTTCCTTTTACGTAAGTTAGGAACATTTAATTTCTTAAGACTTTCCAAGTCACAAAATGCCAAATGTCTAAGAATCTGTACTCTTTGTTAAGGATTATCATGTAAGCATAAAATATATTTCTGTCTAGAAATTTGGGTCTTCTTTTCATCCAATTCAAGTTAGGATATATTTAGCTTTCTATTTTGGCAAACATGTTCATTCCCCATTTGCCCTGCAATTCCACCAAGAATCGTGTTCTAAGGAAATAATCCAAAACAGGAAAAAAAAAAAACCAGATGTATAAAAAATACTCAGTAGAGCATTAATGAAAATTGGAAACAATTTATCTAAAAATAGAGGAACCACTAGGAAATTAAGTAAATTGAAAAATTTTTACTTGTAAATTATAATCACATAGAGAATTCTTACAATGAGTAATAAAGGAACAGGATACGGAATTATAAATACAACACAATTACTATTATTTTTGTAATATGCACAGAAAATTATCAGTAGAGTGCTGGGTAGGAGGCTGATTTTTCTTTTATTTTCAATAATGAATATGTTTTATAATCAATTTGTTATGTATCAATTGTCAAAAAAATGGTATTTCTGACATGTTTTATCATTCCAGAGCCTCTGATTACTATCTTAGTGAAAAAATCTTTTATTATGATGCCAAAGTCACAGTGAAGCACTGATTCTTGGTGGTTTGCATTTAAAGGACCTCTGTATGTTACTACAGAAAACATTACTTTGTAAAGTTTTTATTATTAAATCCAACATAATTTTTAAAAATATACTTACACAGCCTTTTTGTGATTACAAAATTCTACCTGTATTATACATAGTAACTTATTAAGACTAAACATTTCTCTGGAAGAGTTACAAACCTCCTAGTACTAATGAAATCATACCTCAGGAACAGCATATCGTCTGAAAATAGGCCATTTATGACTCCACTTTCCTTCTCAAGAGCCAACATACTAATGTGAAGCTTCTTTGAATTCAAAAAGTCTAAAATTAGCTTAATGATTTCAACCTCCTTTACATTCACTGTTTCTTCGGCCGTCATGTTGATAACCTAAATACTAAACAGAAAAATAAACCAAAATTAGTTGTATTGCTTTATTTCTAATGTGTGGAAACCACACATAACAAGTTTTGTGGAAATTTTTAGTACAGGTATTTTCAAGGGAAATTATTTTAAAATTTATTAAAACCAAGTCATTTCTTAAGGTGCAATCAAAGTGTAGTTATATGAATTTTTTAGGTACTTACATTTTTTTCAATTATATATATATGTAATTTTAACAACATTTTCATTTTTATTCAATATGTGCTTTTTCATCTTGAGTAATTATACTTGAGATACATATTGAAATTTATATCATTTAATCATTTACGGATTAAATGATATAAAGTTTGGGATTTATTTTTAAAAATATGAAAAAGGGACTGGGAGGAGATGTAGATGAAAAAGAACAATCAGGACTATTGAAGAAAAGTAGCAGATTATATTTGATTAGCAGATTATATTTGATTATATTTGCCATGGTCTAAATGCTTATGTCCTAAAATTCCTACAGGGAAATCCTAATTCCCACAGTGGCCTTTGAAAGAAATTACATGAGGGTACAAGTTCATGATTAGGATCTATGTCCTTAGAAAAGAGAACACAGAAAGTTAGCTAGACCTGTCCACTATGAGAATACAAGAAGTCAGCAGTGTGCAGCCAGAAGAGGATCCTCATCACCATCTGAGCTTGGGGCTTCAAGTCTCCAGAATTATTGAGCTTTAAATTTCTGCTGTTTAAACTACCTGGTCTATGGTACTTTGTTATAGCAGCCCAAATGAACTAATATATTATTGTACTATTCTTAGGAATATATAAAATTTGCCATAATACAGAATTTTTTAAAGGTCCTTAATAAACCAAAGCATGTTTAGCTATAACCTATATACCGCCAAAAATATGCTCTAACACATTCGCTCAATAAGCACTTTACTATCATTTGTCTTGAAAGACACTACCCTGTACTCTGGAGATACTGACGCTGTGCTTGAGAAGTTTATAGTTTAGCAACAACTGTAAAGTACTGTGCCTTGTACAAGAGTTCTCTTTAAATATAGGTCTATCTGCATATACTTACTTTTATAAGTATATCTGAAAGGTGGCTAGCATTTTAGACTAAGATACAATTAACATCTTCAGAAACTAAATTGCAGATGGGGATCATTATGTGAACTTCTAGTGATAAGGATTTTAGTGAATCAAGATTATTAGAAAAATCCATCAAGGAGCAGGAAATAAAATTAATTTTAGAAATCTAAGATTAAAAGCAAAATCTTAGCAATAAATAAGGCAAAAATAAGAGCAAAAGAAATACAACAATTTCTATTTATATTTACATACATAGATATAAAAGAAATTTGATGAAAAAAATACCAAGTGGTAGCTTTCTAGGCAAATATAAATACACATGATTTAAACTTTCCTTTGCAATGAGATTATTTTAGTTACTTATAACACACACTTGGGAGGAAGAAAATATACAAAGTCAAAAATGATTCAGAAGTATAAAGTTAAAGGAATTAGGGCACAGCAATTAAAAAATTTATAGTCAAGAAAAAAGTGTTTAAGAAAAGCTCCATTAATCACTAACAATAAAACTACTCTCTTTAATCATCCAAATATTATAGAGGGCCTAACAATTAACAACAGTGCTTTGCCACTCCAGTGTACAGGAAAAAAATGCAAATAAAATAAATGAAGTACTATGAAGTCTATAAATAAAATATCAAACTATAACATTAAACTACTTCTACCTTTTCCTAAAAAACCAAAACCAAAACAAAATTGCTAGACCATTTTTAATAAAGCAGTACTCCAGAAACTTATGTGGGTTCCAGGTCAATAAGTTGTAAATATCTGGTATTTCAAAATAAAATGTTATAAGCCACTTAATTGCTATCAACCTCAACTTCTTCAGACATAAAATAAGGTTATTCTTGCTAATTTCTATGCTTTCCCTTTAAGTTTTAAAATTTAAATGAAATGGAAAACTCCCATTTCAATAATAGGAAGCATGTATTCTTAGGCGGTGATATCAAGTCTGGGATAACCAGTATTCTCTAATCTATATGATAAGTTTAATAAGAGAAAAGAAAATACATTTACTTCGTAACATTTTAGCCAACAAAAGTCTCCATCTCTGCTAATAAGGTAAAATTTACAACACAGATAGAGAATGCTGACAGCTATTTTCTATTCATTAATTATTTTAGCATACTTTTGCAACTGAATGATTTTCCTAAAGAACAAATTATATTAAAGCAGGTGCAGTTTTACATAGCTATAAAAGAATTAACATAAAATATATATTGCATATATGCATAAGATATCTCCAGAAAAAGACAAGAAATTGATGAAAATGGCTGTCTCAAAAGAAGAAAATTAGACAATTAAGAAATTAAAGGGAAGACTATCACTATATACCCTTTTTGTACTTTTTAAATTTTATGTCATTCAGAATATTACTTATTCAAAAATATTTTAAATAATATAGAACGTAACCAGTGAATTTCCATTTGCAAATTATTTGTAATTTCCAATTACAAAATAATTGGGAAGAACTAGCAATATAATTAATTACTTACACATTATGAATTAACATTTCAAAGCTATTTGTATTTTTATCTTAATCTAAGACCTCTTCTTCCATTCAAGTATTATTTCAATCTTTATTCATGAGATTAAAGTATTTTTTTTTCATATTCAAGCCACAAATATGTTTAAAAAGTTTATTTGTTGGCAGACAAAACAGTTACAGGATATGCAAAAACCAGTTTTGATTTGGAACACATAATTAAGTTATATAACCTAGAAAGGTGAAATGAAATTGTCATATTTGACACTAAAATCATAAAATACAAATGTCCCATTTATACCCTGCAAAAAAATTACAAGCAACTGAGCAGTATAGACAATTTGCAGAACTACAAACGACCAAAAAATTTATGAAAAGATTTTCATGAAGGATGTTAAATAAGATTCTATTCCAAAAATAGTCTACCAGTGTTGGAAAAATAAAAAATAATACCAATCTTTGCCTTTCATATTAATACATTAAGAATGTAAACAGGCCCTCCCTGGTGGCACAGCAGCAGGTTAAAGCACAGCACAAAGAAGCTTAAGCCACTTCCACATGAGTTCGATCCCCGCCTGCCCCAGAGGCAATCCACATGGCCGGCAGACCTTTCCTGACCTGCCCACTGCTCCCCTCAGCAGTGTACTTCCTTGATCTGCCTGTTCTGCTCCCCACTCTGTCCCTGGTGAATCCTCTCACCCTCCGCATCTCTGGCCTGTACCCCAGTTCTGTACGATAAATAAATAAATCTTTAAAAAAAAAAATGTAAACTGGCAGGGGTGAGGGCTTCTCCCTGGTCACTCAGGGTTTAAGGTCTCAGAGCTATCAAGTCATCCAACAGTCACTGCAGCATGAGTTCAATGCCCAGCTAGGAAGTTAGCCCATATGGTGCAGCAAACCTCTCCTGCCTGCTGCTCCCTTCAGCAGTGTATTTCAATGATATAGATCTACCCATCCCAATAATGGAAAGGTGTATACAGAACAGTATACAGAACAATATAGTTATTAAAAAACAGTTGCTGAAGGTCTATTAATACAGTCCCCCCTTTTAAAAAAAATTTAATTACTTATGCATACAAGAACTGGGGTACAGGCCAGAGGTATGGAGGAGAGGGGGGAGAGGATTCACCAAATTGGGGAGCATAATAGGCCTAATGAAATAGACTGCTGAGGGAAGCAGACAGCAAGATAGGAGAGGTCTGCTACACTATATGGTCATATCCTGGGCCAGGGATTGAACTCATGTTGCAGTGGCTGGCAATCGCTCGACAGCGCTGTGTCTTTGACCCCTGCACCATCAGGGAGGCCTTCACCCCATTATTCCATTATTTTTGTTTTTAATGGAGGACATATCTCTGTGTCTAAACAAATAACAACTCTATCTAACTCCTATCTAACTCTTCAGAGTGGTTGCCTCTGAGGGAAAGTGGTAGAAGAAAGGCTGCTTTTCTCTGTATGTTTGCATTATTGAAATGGTGTATACCTAATATACATGCACTGCTTGTATGCATACATGTACATTTCTTACATTAATACAATTTTATGAAAGAAAATTATAGGATTTGATCACAAAGGTTCTCTTCTATATCAAGAAGAATAGAATAGAATCCATAATCTATATTATGTTTATATGCTACTATGTTTATAATGCAAAATTACTGAGTACTATTCTAGGATGGTTAGTTACACTGTTTGAGTCTTCACAGGATTTAGCAATCCTATGAGCTAGGTAATTTCATCCCCACTTAACTATGAAGACACTTTATCTAGATTTAAAATTTATCTAGATGTATGAATACTTTAGATCTATGTATATTTGGTGTGGCTTTTCATAGATACTTTAAGAACTAATGTTATTTAAACAATGCTCAGGAACAGAGGTCCACATAATTGAGTTTGGAAGGAGAGCACCCCAGATTAAGTCTCAGGTGAGACTTGCCATAGCTTCTGTGGCAACTTTATTGCAAATTCCAGAGACTTTAAATCAGAGGCACCCAGCTGGGCTATGCCCAGATTCCTGACCCTCAGAAACAGTGAGATAAATATTGGTTGTTTTATACCACTAAGTTTTGGGGTCATCTGCTCTACAGTAATAATAATACAGAATTCCTTAACTTATTTCACAAATATAAAAAGGTAGATTTTTCCCCCCTAATATTGAATTGAGATCTGCTTCCTTGAGACTACTCTGGTTACATCTTCAGTATTAGCATAACTAACAAGCCTATGTGTTAAAAACTTTCACACATTGGAATCTGACAATAACCGTCTGTTTCCCTCCAACTGACTCTTGAAAAACACAGGTAGAAATAACTGCACAGGTCCACTTAGACAAAAATGTTCTTGTCAATAGATAACATAAACTTAGTTTTAATAAATTGTATAGTACTGTAAATGTGTTTTTCTTTGTTCCTTATGATTTTCCTAATAACATTTTCTTT